ATTTATGTGGGGAAATTGTTTAATAGCTACAATCTACCTAGGAGATAAAAATGGAATACAGCACCTCTCCCCTTGTTAGGGGCTTATTCATTGATTTCCATAGAAAACTCAGAAAATGGAAATGTTGCCTCGATGCAGAGCTAAACTATTAGGTGTAGTGATTTTCCACTGCCTGGGTGGACCCTCATGCTGTAGGTGATTTTGAACAGATACTGATGACTTGTCCCAGTGAGTAAGCTGACCTCTTGCTTTGGCAACAAAAGCTACATGTTGGGAGGCACCCACTGGCACAGGGTTCCAAACGAGCCATTCTTTCAGGGCCAGAGAGAGATAGAAGAAACTATTAAAATCCTTTCTATTTTATGAAAGGCCCATCTATATGACATCAAGCTGAAAATGTATGATAAAAATGTAGGGAGGTATTCACATCAAATAAAACTTTAAAGAAACACAAGAAACTATAAATAATTCACAAGCAGACACTTGTCATAAACATTAGTCATTTACAGCCCAAGGGAATATTATCTAGTAAAACATTAACATTCTACATTTAGTTTTTGTTTAAATAATATTTCATGATATGTTTTAAAGTTTAAATTATTACCATAAAGTACTTTTGTAGTATCAAGAGATTATATAAATGAGGTGGGTATGCTATGCATTTTGTGGTCTAACTCGTTAAGAAGGGAACATATGTTTATGAGAATTAACACTTCATAAAGAAAGTTAAATGTCAAGTTCCTATCTGACCTGTTAATTATATTCAATGACATTAAAGGGCAGCATTTGCAAATTGCTTCTGCTCCTAGTATTTTAGTGTTTGGTGACAAATTTATGATCTTGACCCTCATAATTAAATTACTTAATTCTGGAATATTTCATGGTTCTTGATTGCATGCTTGACTTTATTTTCTTTTTCTCTTGATTGTGTTAGAAAATTCCACACTATTTCCTTTTATTTTAATACCCACTGACCTTTCACAGAAAATAAAAACCCAAAATGAGAATAATGACCAAATGCTCAGTCTGTCACTTAGGCCTGTTCAACTTAAAAGTCTTCCAAGAAAGTGTGGTTATAAAACAGAATCAGGGTGGCATTTTATATCACTGAAATTTTCAAGAGATTTTCTTTTGGAAGCCACCATAAATTACTGGCATCACAAGATATTTTTGTTTTCTCTTTAGCTGACAAAGACATGTCTGTTTTATAGTTTCTAATATCAGTATTAGGTTTAACTATACTTCAAATATATATATAAAATGGCAATTTCATATGCTCAAACCTTTTAAAATACTAGCCAAACTGTGAGTAACATAATATTTTAGAAACATGTATTTCTTCAGATATGTGGTGAGAGATGTTCTCAGCCATTTTGTGATGATTTTCTTTTCCACATTGCAATACATCTTCAAAATAAGTCCACAAATAAATGTTGATGAGAAAAACTCTTTATCTAGAAGATAATTAGTTCATAGTTTATTTACCAATATGTTCCAATTTTTGTCAGAATTTTTTGACCTGGTATCTATGGTTAGAGTACACACAGCTGGCACCAGAGATTCTCTTCACAGCTCAAGGTTAAGAAAGTCCATTTGCATGGGGATTTTATAACAGGCCTTGCAAGCAGTGAGGTCTTTTTTTAAAAATAAGTTTAAGATTGATTTTCTTTTTGTAGTGGGATCTTCCCATAAAAAAAATCATGATTATATTTATTGCAGCTGATGTTTGTGTCTTCATTTCTTAGTGATATGAAGACCAATTAAATAAGGGGTTAGGGGCTTATGTGTTCATGTTGAACATGGTGTAGCCTAAGTTTCTCTCCTCAGTAAACACTCAGAACAATGGTGGTTATTTCAATTGTCGGCTCTGTGTTGACTTCCAGAGCTATAGCTCTAGTGAAGACTGAGCTTCAAGCTCCTTATATCCAATTACCTAAAACCATCCTTTTGTGGGGCAAGGTCATCTGCTATAATTCTGTTCAGTGACCACCTGCCCAGGGAGTATGTACTCCTATAGAAGAAAATACCATCAGACAAGGGAGCCTTCACAAGTTTCCATACACAATATCAAGAGTTCAATGAAAATTATAAAGCATGTTAAAACCAATGTAAATCAACAAAACACGTAAGAAAATGTAAAGACCCAGGGAATTTAGATGTTGGTGTATTTTAGTGACTATAAGTAACATGTTCAAGAAAATAGATGTAAACAAGGGGCCTTGTCTCAAAATACTTGAAAACATTTAAATAGTAAGGTGGAATTTACAAAATGCAGATCTGTAAGTTGTCATCCCACTGCTTGAAACTTTTTCATGCTTCTTTGCCTGCAGGATACATATAAACTCCGTACCATGTTAGAGGGAAGCATGGTAGGGAGTCCTACCTGTTTCTTTAGCCCAACGCTGCCGTTTAGGAATTCTGTGCTTTAGTTATCCAACTACTCGCAGGTCACCAAACACAGTGCTTTCTTCCATGTTGCAATGCATTCACACCGGATGTTTTTGGAAATTGGAATGCTCTCACATCACCCACTTAGAAAACATATATTTATATACAAATAACCACCTCAAGTACGACCTTCCCCAAGAAAGTGTCCTTAAAACCCTCAGACAGATTTAGAGATCCCTTCCAATGTTCCCATAGCACCAATTACATGCTCTATTGAAACACTTTCCATTTGTATTTCAAATTTTTATGACTGTTACTCCCCTCTAGTGAGCCAAGGGCAGCGGTGTGCTAGAGCTGACTTGCGCTGGCTCACAAGATCCCTTGTAATATTCTGAAGAATTTCATGAATTGGTGGTTAAACACAGCCATTATTAAAAATTTAATTACTTAAACTAAAAATTAAATTAATTATATTGAAGGCAAAGATAGTTTACACTTAAAAACTATTATCTAATTATTTATGACAATTTATGCTCCCACCAAAATGATATATAATGGTGGTCTCCTATTTATCTCTGTCCAAATCTGTTTTTAATGAGATCGTGTTGATTTGAAATTAGCCATTATAAGAGAATTTATACCAGAGATATAGGAAATTCTAAAAGCCAAGGCTTAATTTTTTGTTATAATGATTATACAGACTCAGGACTATGAAGAAATGTTAATAATTTCAATTTAACTTAAATTTGTGTTATAGCTATAACCTTTACATTGTGAATAGGACACAAAATTGAGAAAATATTTTTCTAGTATGTGAAAACCATCATACAATTCACAGCAAAGTTGTTTACATCACTGACAAGTAAAGTTCTGACATACATATTGGAGGTTTTCCTTTTACTTGCCAACATAAATGAATATTTCAAGGATTTCTATCTACTATTTCAAGGATTTCTATCTACTATCTACTACTTCTGTGTAAGACTTTAAATAACAGTGTAAGTAAGGAAGGAAAATTTAAGCCTTCCACAGACCAAAGGGTAAAGCTAGCCTTTATAATTAGAAACAATGTTATTATATAATCATATGAAATATTTCTAATTTAGCAGTGATTGATTTGAGTCAATCCATACCTATACTAGATGAGAATAGTTTTTGTGTGCTAATTTAAAAATTCAATACATATTTATTGAGCAAATACCCTCTGGAATACACTATGCTAAGCACCACAAGTATGTAGTCCTTGCTGTGCAAGAGTTTAAATTCTAAAAGGAAAGAAAATTATAGAAAAATAAGTGTATGTTTGTATATTCTAAATACCAGTGAGAAAAAAAAACACAGGTATTAGAACTTAGAGGATAGAGATTCACCATGTGCTTGGAAGAAGCAGGAAAAAACTTCCTGAAGCTTGTGAAATACGAAATGGCCTTTAAATCAGTAGCATTTACACAGATGGAAATGATCCCATACCACAAAGGAAAAATACAAGATGGAAATCATGAATAAAAAATTGAAGCAATCTAAGTCAGACTGAGAAAAACTCATATGTAAATAATAGCATTATATAAAGAGTAAACCAGAAGAGAAGAAATAACATTTTTAAAACACTCTTAATTTGATGAAAATATTAGTCTGCCAGTTAAATGAGCTCACAAGTCTTACTGAAGATTACTGTGAAAACTTACTTTTACACATTTGTTGTTTATAATTCTGAACAAAATAAAAAGGTTGATAAGCCTCCAGACTTAAATGAAGTTATGGATTTGTGGGGTATATAGAATTCCATTTCAGTAAAAGAAACACACCAGCAAAGGTCCAGAAGCAGAAAAACTAAGGTTTTTTCTTCCAAAAGTAGGGAGTAATCGAGATGAATGGCTGAACCTGAGAGTAAAGCTGGTGGCCGCCCAGGGGAAATAAAACTAAATGACTCATAGAGTGACTGATAACTTTCTGTGACGAAAAATCCATGTTAGCTTTGTTAGCATTGAGATAATTCAACTCACCACACATTATTATTCTATTTGTGAGATTTGAAACCATAGAATGCACAACAAATAATCTTTATTTTGTTTCTTTCTCTTCCTTTTTTCCTTGCTTCCTCCCTTCCTTTTCTTTTTTAAACAATAATAGCCACATTGGTTTTATAGAAAGTTGACTACAGTTTAAGAGTCCTAAATTTTGTAGTTTTAATCTTAATTATAATTTCTATTAATAGGAGAGAAAACTCTCAGTGGGGTTGTGACAAATATGTTAGCACTACCATTAGGGTTATCACAGATGTTTTTATCTACTCATCATGTTTTAGGTAGAAAAAATTATTTTGAATTTCTTAATTGTCTTCATTATTGGTGATCAAAATTCTAAATAAATCCTAGAGTAAGTATTGCTACTTCAACGATATGCTGAGTTTAATGGCTAAGTATTAATATCCAACCCATGAAATATTATCCAAAGCTATGTAGAAATAATTAATCTAGTAAAACCTGACACAGTATAACTCACCAAACATATAAACTAAATCAGGGTCACATGATATAAAGTTTCAATAAGAAATGGCATCACAATTAATCAGACTGATTGCTAATGACTCTTTCTACCATCTTCTTCCTCAGGGGTATGATGACGGCTTTGGGGGTGACTATGACGACCAGACCTATGAGACATATGACAACAGCTATGCCACCCAAACACAAAGGTAAGGCATTTGCTGTCTAAAGCACATCCTTCGCAGTACTATTTCTAATCCTGTTATTTCGTGCCTTGTATCTGAATATCAGCTGTGTTATGTGAGAGTTTCTAGTAGTGGTTTTTCTCCATTGTCCTTCTGTGTTATTCAGTTGTTTACTTAGACTGTGAGGAGTAAAAGATAATAACTTATCATAGTAGTGTGTACCCTGGCTGGTTTACGTCAGTGGATTGAGTGTGGCTTGTGAATCAAAGGGTCACTGATTTGATTCATGGTTTATTTCATACAATGCAAGATGGGGGCATAGACAGGGGACATGTGGACTGTCCCAGACAATGAGAAAAGAAGTTCGGAGAACACTCCTAGACATGTGATTATTTTGGTTGCAAATTCAAAACACAACAAAAATAGAAGGAAAAAGATCATTTCAGGAAGGTGAGAAGTGTGGGCAATGCAACAGGATGAGGTATATGCATAAAGATGAGTATCTTTATAAAACATTATTTGTAGCCCTGACTGGTGTAGCTCAGTGAATTGAGTGCTGGCCTGTGAACCAAAGGGTCACTGGTTCAATTCCTAGTCAGGGCACATACCTGGGTTGTGGTCCAGGGCCCCAGTAGAGGGCTCATGAGAAACAACCACACACTGATGTTTCTCTCCCTGTCTTTCTCCGTTGCTTCCTCTCTTTCTAGAAATAAATTTTTTAAATCTTAAAAAAAAAATTGTTATTTTGAGACATATGATTATCATAACCAATCAACTCATTAACATACCCATATTTAATGAAATATGTTATCTTTAAAGATTATTAGGTTGAATACATAATTAAGACAACAGTGAACCCAGGCTGGTGTGGCTCAGTGGATTGAGTGCTGGTCTGCAAACCAAAGGGTCACTGGTTCAATTGCCAGTCAGGGCACATGCCTGGATTGTGGGCCAGGTCCCCAGTAGGGGGCATGTGAGAGGCAACCACACAGTGATGTTTCTCTTCCTCTCTTCCTCCCTCCCCCTCTCTCTAAAAATAAATAAATAAAATCTCTCTAAATTTTAAAAAAGATAATAACACTGAGTACAAGTCACTTTTTCAATGTAGCTATATTTCCCTAAAATGTAATTTGTAAAACAAAAGGTAAAGAAATGTTATTAGTGCTTTGGAAAAAGGGAAATTCATAAAACACCCTAATGAATCAAAAGTACTTTTCCACCCTGGCTGGTGTAGCTCAGTGGATTGAACGTGGTTCTGCGAACCAAACAACTATAGTTAGATTCCCAGTCAGGGCACATGACTGGGTTGCAGGCCAGTTCCCAGCAAGGGATGCACAAGAGGCAACCATACATCAATATTTCTCTCCCTCTCTCCTTCCCTTCCCCTCTAAAGATAAATAAGTAAAATCTTTAAAAAAAGAATATCTTTCCTCTTTTGATGGGTCTCTAAATGATTGTTGAATATATATTATTAGATTGACTCAAAATTTGTGATATCAATGAATTTTTACCTTTTTAAAGTCAAGTTTACTTAGGTATTCTTTACAGACACTAAATTTTGCCCATTGAGGATACAGCTGTGTAAGTTTGGCAAATGCAAGCCACCAAAATTAAGATGAAGGGCATCTTAATCAGTCCAAGATGTTTCCTTTTCTCCCTTGACAGACAACTTTTCAACTGAGGCCTTGGAAACCACAACTTGTTTTTTGCCACTGCAGTTCTGCCTCTTGTAGAATGTCATATAATTAATATAAAGCAAGACAACATGTGGCCTTTTAAGTCTTATTTTTTTTACTTAGCAGAATGCATCTGATATTTATTTATATTGTGCACATCAGTTTTCTGTTTCTTGTTATTATTGTGTGGTGTTTTGTTGTAAGGATGTACCACAGTTCCTTCATTCACCAGTTAAAGGACATTTGGATTGTTTCTATATTTTTGCAGTTATGAATAAACATAAAACACATGCAGTTTTACAAAAAATCAGCCACAGGTTTTTTTTCTGAAATAATTATTTTTTCTTAGTTTCAGACTTCATGGAAAATTTGTAGTCCATATACTATTAGTTGATTGTCCCTATTTGTGATTGATAGAAACCAATATAACTTCTTGTCATAAAATCATTATACACTTCATCACATATTGATCAACTTTATTGGCACCCAAAGAAGTTTGGTTGATTTTTAAGTAGTATTTGGAGGAGAGAAGATGCCAAAGAAAGAAAGAACTGTACGGTCACTGTGGGGGGAAGGGAATCTATGTGTACTGCATAAGTGTGCTTTTTTCATGGCCTGAGGGACAGTGTACAGAAAGGAGTCAAGAGCAGTTCTATTTAAAGAGAATACTGTAGGTGGTTAGGAGAAACATGAGTGTGAATTGATACCTTCAAAGCTAAATATGACATGAGATATCATTGTGGAAGTGACCATCTTCAACTCTGAGTAACTGGTGCATTTACAGTAGGTTAAGTAGAAAAGCCATCATGAACTAAGAGCGTTTACTGTGGGTAATATCTTAATTGTCCCAGTTACCTATTGGAACACAGCACAGATATTCAGGAGCAGGGAAAGCTTTGCATCACATCACAGACCCTGAATACAGTGGTACTTACAACTTGGCTACATATTTAAAACAACTGATAACATTTTCAACTAAATAGCTAGTATATCACTGTATGTTAGTACATAAAAAATAGTGTTAATAAAATTCCTTAACTTGTTTCAGAAACTGGTAGAAAACATGATCAACACATAGTACAAACACAACTAGAATAAGCAGCTCTGTAGAGTTAGATTCTCCTTGTAGAGATTTTGGAATAATTTTCTGAAAGTGAGAAAGTGTCTACATCTTTCTTCCAGGTTTAACTGACACTAAGGGAAGAGAAAGAAGAAATATTGAGAATTAGAATAATTTATCTTTACATATTTAAAAAGTGAATACTAAAATAATTATATTTAAAAAGTGATGGCAATATGGAATAATTCTGGAAAAAAATTATCTGGAAAAAGAGCACTGTCTATGTGCTCCTGCCATCTTCTTTTTTCCCTTTACTACCCAATCGATTTTCCATGGCTAAATGCCATGCCCGCTTCTAGGTCTGGCTCAAATCTAACTCTTCTGAATAGTCTTTCCTTAATCCTCTTTTCAGCGAATAATTTGTTTATGCCCTGAATTCCAGTAACACCATACCTTTTTTTCTGTTACTTTTTATCTCTGTCTTACGTTGGGATCATTTGTGTACATGTTTCTTATTACCCTTACTACTTGCCCAAAATCCTTGTCTGACCCCCCCTCAGTCCTTCACAGTATCTAGCATTGAGACTGTCATGGGCTGTGTCAATTCAGTAGATGACTGTTGAATACGTGAATGGTGAATGTCAGACCTAATGTGTACCTACACTAAGAAGATTTAAAACAAGAGCCTCGTCCCTCAAAAAGAAAACAATACTCAGAATTATAAGTATCATATTTACTGACAAAATATTTATGTGTTTTGAGATATCTTAGTGCTAAACAAGAAAGGGTAAAGAAAGCAGGTCATGGAATTAGTTGTAATGACACCACTATTCTGTATTATAATAAAAATTTAAAAAATATTTTGTATTCCAATAATTATAAAATAACTATTTTGGTAAAAACATATTTTTAGTACTAGTGTAGTGTGTGGCACATTAAGGGTTCTCAGTAAAGATTTGTTGAATAAATGAAATAAAAATAAATGCACTAATGAATGATTGAATTAATGAAATTAACACTATTATTTCAAAAACTCTGTGTAGAAAAATTCTTAACTAAAATATTAATTTATAATACAAGTGGATTACAAATACTGAGAAATGTTATCGTAAAATGTATTAAATCTGTACTTTTAGATGATTTCTATTGATCCAACTATGCCAGCAGATGACAAGATTAACAGTGCAGTTAAATAAGCACTTATGTGGGAGCGACTTCTCTTGAAAGTCCCCCCAAGGCCACGGATGAAAATGAATATGGCCGAGACATGACGTGATCTGCTTCGGGAGGAGAAGTGAGCAGTGGCCAGTTTCTCCAGGGAGACAAAGGCCAGCTGTGGCCAGTTTCTCCAAGGAGAAAAACTCCCCCGGGGCTTTTATTGGGTTGTAATACACAGGAGTACAGGGTGGCAAGGATCAAACAGTAGATAACATTTCAAAGAAATCTGAGGGCTTACTATGAGTCAGAGTCTGTCAGGAACAGGGTTTTAGGGTTTCTTGCTCAAACCCTTATCATATGAATGAAAGCACTCTTAGCAGAGCAGATTTCACAGGTTTATCAGGAAGTCTTTGTGATGCCAGATTTCTTCCCAGGACAAGCTTTAGCCAGGCAAGAAGCTGTACCTCTCCCCATCAGGTATTCAGGCTTAAGGGGATTAGAGCCAGGAAGCACTTCTCCCAGAGGACATGGGGACTCAGGCTATGTCAGAATAGCTGGGGGGGGTGAGGGTTCATTACCCCCTCTATGTTGCAGCCCCCCCCCACAGTCCTTCAATGAAGGTCTCCCAAGTGATTAAGTGATTGAGTCTGGCTTAGGTTGCCCCCCACTGTGAGGGGTTTTACCCGTCATTGACTTTCAACCAAACCTTGGGGTCAGGGAGAGGAAACTGAGGCAGCATTTACTACAGAGACAAGCTTTGTCTCCTGCAGCTGGCACTCCAAAGGTCATCCCTCACCCTTAGCCACAAGGGGTAGAGATATAATTCCTAAAACCAGGCAGAGCAGTCTACAACACACTTACTATATAATTAGGGGTGCCAGAAAGTATACTTACCATACAGTGCGCTTATTTTTAAATTTTTAATTCATTTTAATTTTTGTTAAATAATAATTTGTTTGAGAAGGAGTCATTTGCAAACTGTGTGTATACTTAAATAAATATAAGTGAAACAACTACTATAGGATAGTCAGTTCACTTTTTATAAGAATTGGTCTGTAATTGTTTCTTTTTCAAATGGTGGCTCTTGATTTGGACTTCAGAAAGTATGATGTGGATTTGTGGAGAAAGTT